TGATTCTCTTATTTTTAGATTCCCTTCAGTGGAAAGAGCTGTGGTAGAGAAGAAACAATGGTGGAGGTGAGAAAGTCCCATTGTGCCGTCGAAAGTAGTTATTTGTAACGAGGATTGTCGTGGCTGATGTAAGGCCACGGGCTGGTTGTGGCGCGCGCAGACGCAACGATGAAAGGAATAGCATAGATCGTGATGACGTCATTTACCAGGAAAACAGAAATGCAGTGAAAAAGCTGTGGAGTTCAGTGTTCGATACACATCAAACCACTTGAGCATTTATAATTTGAACATCGGGTAATGGTTTTGACTAGGAGCCATTTTGTAACCATTCAAGAGAGTTCTCTTCAATGTCGAAGGCTGTCAATTTGTACACGATAAGTATAGGAACCTCTAGAGTACACTTAAGTATTAAATTTTTAAAGAGAATCTTTGATTTTTTGAACTATTTTTCTGAAAGGTGGAAGTGAATAAAGTTATCATAAAGGAAAGATGAAGATTCGTGATTGTCCAGAATCGACGACTGGCGCAAAATTCCAATAATGAGGTGTGAATGTGCGCTCATAAGGCTGCCTTTTGTTTCACAATTCGAATTTTAAATTCCAGTTCATAGTTGGGCTTACCACTGTGTCTATTACAGCAGCGTAACGTGGATGTGGTTATTGTTAATCACTATGGCCACATTGGTAATTATTCAATTAAGACTATCCATCGTCGAAGTATGCTCTTAGTTACTGGCTAGGCTTATATCTTGATATATATAGCAGGAATTCTATACTCTTGTCAGTTCGCAAATTTTGAAGAGAAGGGGGTTCACTTTCAATTAAGAGTGCTATGTACAACCAGCGCAAAATTCTGCCAAATCGCGAGCTTTGCTTAAATTCAGGACTGAGCAATAAGGGTAGAGCGTCGGAGTGAGTGAAATGGCGATAAAGGTATAACTCCCGTCTCAGGATATTTGACAACGGCAGAGCTTTCCTCCTCCTTCCTTCTCTCATCGCTCTTCCCTTTCCCCTCCCTTCAAATGCTCGGCTCGTGGATGGGATGAGAAAGCCTTCGCCTTTGATTAGTGAAATCGTTCCGGATGCATAGAAGGGCTGTTAACTACACTCTCTTCCGTGCGACATTTGTGAGTGCGGCGACGTTAAAATTAGAAATCGAACATCATATATTCTCCTTTTGTCGTCTTGTTGGCCATTTTTGTCTTTTTCTTGGAGGAGAGCTCGTACCGAGATCAGCTGAGGGGAGAGGGGAGGGTCGTATAAATCAGAAGTTTTACTCAACGCGATGCATGCACTGCTAACAGCGTCCCATTTAGCGTTCGCGCGGCGACCGCGATGACGCATGGACTTATCTACGGGACTTCGGGGAAGTTTTGGTATACCGCTAACTAGGAGGATATATAAATCGCATGACAGAGGTAAAACCAACAACAACCGGGACAACTGAAAAAAATTTTCTCGCAGTTCGTTACTGAAAGTTACGACCCCTCCCGCCGACCAGGTAGATTACGTCAAAAGTTTCGGCCAAACGTCCACAACGTTTTTCTCACACAACCATTTCATTTGAATTTTTATTGCGTTATACCTACCATTGTTACCAATGAATGACACTAGTTGCCTTGGAGCACTGATGTCACTGATGCTGGGCAGATTTTTTGGCGTCAGACAATAACTTCAGTGTGTCAAGCCTTCTATTGTTCACGTATTTTTCTAGTTTTGGCGGAGTTTCCGACAATACTTCCAGGTGCAAACTAGTCTTCTGGCTCTGCATGTGACTAGAAGACTGAAACCTTGTACACCGAAAAAAGTTGCCAGAAGATGGAAAATGTCGGCGTGAAAGCCCGAATTTCGGAGTATTCTGAGGGTTTATAGGCGGACAGCGCCGCCGTGGTACCACAATAAGACTGCAATCACGTGCTGGAGACGGCTAATGCCGTTTGGACTCCAGAAATTTCGGCACCGAGCTCATTTTTAAATTGCCCAAGTCACCAAATCCGCTAAAAAACTCGTATATAGAGGTAGTTTAATATTTCTGATTTAACGAATATGAATTTCACTCTTGATAGCGTCCTGAGTGAACTATCAGATTAATATGCGCTAGATGACACCGCACGATTATCTGCGCTAAGGCGTGGAGCCTAGGAGGTAGTCGTAGTGTCATCCATTAGCGCCAGCGACAAGGATGAATGTCATATTCGTAATCAGGATGTTAAACTACCCCTATATACAGATTTTTAGCGGATTTGGTGACTTAGGCAATTTGAAAATGAGCTCGGTGCCGAAATTTCTAGAGTCCAAACGGCATTAGTCCTGGAAGACCGTTGGAGTGTATTCGACATTACGCCGGGATAAAAGCATCCACCTCCGCTTCCGGGCACTTCGCAGCCAATTTCAATAGCATCAATGAGACAAATATCAATGAACGGATTGTCGGAAGAACGATAGTCTCATGTGCAAGCCGAACATACCATTCTCAGGTCAGAAAATGGAAGGGTCAAGAGAGGTCGCTTTCAGCCGCTACCTTCACTGTGAATCTGGCGTGGTAATTCCAACCCACTTAAACGGAGTGCTGTGGTCTTAAATAAAATGATGTCGACTTGTTACCCTCGCTTGCGATTCTAACATTTGCTGCTTGATGAAGAGAACGTTGCCCCGATTGTTCGATGTTCACCGAAGTTGGCGGATTGGGAGCTCTACTTTGGCCCTTTGATAATTTGAATGAACAGCGGGTTTTCGGTCGCACACCTACCATTCACCCCTTACACTCTGAGTGTTCTTCCGACAATCCATTCACTAATATTTGTCTCATAATGCAATAGAATTGGCTGCGAGTGGACTCGGAATCAGCCTGCAAGCGGTGGGGATGTTCTTATCCTGACAAACACGCTCTAACATGTTTTTATCTTCTCGCATACGCTCTTACAGCCTTCTAAATGTTGATTACAGTCTTAACGTCGTGACCACGATGTCACTGTGGGTCTACAAACTTTCGGAACACGTGCAAAGCCTTTGGTATTGCCGACAGTTTTTCATCTTCATGCAAATATTTTCGCGGGTCCGATATTCAGTCTTATTCCAAGTCACTATAAGAAGCAGAAGGCAGTTTTGACACCTGAGAATATTGTTTTGAAAGTCCACAAAACTCGAAAAATGTGAACAGTAGGTGCCTATGGAACCTGAGCCCGTGCATCAATGCTTGGTTCGTGAGAAAAAAAGTTTTGGGCAGACGAAAGCGTTCGAACCGAATATTTTGAGCAACTAACTTACGTCCCCCAACGGGACCCCGTCCCCTAATTATGATGTACCATGCATGCAGTTCTCAGGCATGTTCGGTCTAAATGAGGAGCCATATTGCTCTCAGTCTGTATCGTAGTTGCGGTCTATACGGAAATTGAAAGCCAAACTTCTTGAAAGATGTGCGAGATTTAAAACGTGTAAGTTCGCTCTACACCTTCCTCTTCACGTGTTCGATTAGAGCTGTTCGAAACACAAAAAAATTCTGTAGAAGTTCTCCTGTATAGTAGTGTTGCCTGGTCAGCAGCCTACCCCCTTCCAGTGCGTAGACAAGTTCAAGTGCAACAAGCGAACTACAACTAACAGCTGAATAAAGAGAAGAGAGACGCAAGATTTTGCAGTATGACATGATGTTTTAGGCGTACTCCAAAATGTATCCTCAAAAAACAGAGAATTGACCAGTTCTCACTCAACGCAAACCCGAGGTAACTATCAGAACTCTAGCTTTGCTGTTCAGCACTTGGCGCCCATATGATATGATTCCGACCCAAGGTAACTCCAAATCACCATCAGCTACTGCTTATATGCATCTTTGGGAGTATTCTTGCTCGGCTGTTAGTTCTGCGAGTTATTAGGTTGTCCGGAAAGTTCTTAGCGTTTTGGGTGTTTCACTTTAAGCGATCGTAACTTTCTTAATACTCATCGGATTTAATCGAAATAGGCACCATTCGAATCAGCACACTTTTGCCAATGTGACAGCAGTCGAGAAATCCCATAAAAAGAAAAACTGGGTGGTCGAGAATCCACGAAATCTACGAAGGTCTTTTTTGCCTGGTCTTAATTGATGAAGTATTTTTCAGCAAGGAAGTTCTGAAAATGTCTGAAAAGGTGACAGTCGGTTGGTGAAAGGTCTGGAGAATATGGTGGTGAGGTAGAACTTCAACCCTCAATTCGTTCAATTTATGGATAGTGATTTGTGAAACGTGTGGGCGGGCGTTGTCATGCAAAAGAATCGGACCTTTTTTTGATAAGTGTTGGCTGCAGCTGACAATATTTTCGGAACATTTGGTCGGTTTGTTCACAGTAGGGTTCTGCTGTGATGGTTTGGCCTGGCGATAAAAAGTTATAGTGGATTACAACAGCCGATGACCACCAAACCTGACCAGAATTTTTTTCGTGAAGGGTTGGCTT